TTAAAAACCAGCCATTACCATAAATCACTCACATCAATCACAGAACTTTTTGTCACCTTTGTTTACAATGATTTATTGCCCCAAAAAACTGGCTGCTTTACATTCCTTTTGCATTACCGTATTCAAATTACAGTAATCTGGAGTGATTACGAAAACTTTTTATAGAAACTACTATCATGGAGTCACTGGGTCATGTAAAATTTATGGACACTTAATGAAATATGTAGGAAAACGTTAACTTGAGGAAGGCACCCCCACCGCAAGGACCCTAAAATAGACCTCCGCACTAATACACGGAACAACCTTCAGCCAAGTGCAATTCCAGAAATACACGCTGCTTTAGGTAACTGACTGTGCAGTCAGAGGTATTACCCAACAACTTGCTTTTAAAGATTCTGGATTTGGAGAGTTCAAAGAGTAGCTTACTTTATGAAGAGCCCAAACTGGATAGACATCTACTCTTTGCCCTGATCCTTGCTTTCCCGGAAGTAAAAAAGAAACTGATCTCTTGTTCTCCGAGTAGCTGCTGCTCCCTAATGAAGAAGCCTCATTAGTAACACACATTATCAAATCATTTCTGTGACGCAGGAACATATTAGCTCAATGAATATTTCCACGAATACCCTTTGATACTGCAAAATATCAGTGAAGAAGAATGACAAAAGAATCAAAAGGGATTATAAAATTGTTCCCGAAAAGGACTTCCCTTCGTAGCATGTTCGACTGCGGACCTAATCAGACGGTCTTACAGATTCTGGCTCCATTCACCAACGTGTTCTCCCAGATTCATTCATATCTTTACGTATTTCTATGCGTAGTCGGTGTATTCGCCAATATCGCCATTGTCGTCGTTTTATTACGGTGAGTGCTTTACCGTAAACATTACAGTATGGTAATAATCGTAAACAAACGTTCATGTATTAGAATTGAATCCAGTCATAAGACCATCGAACTTACCGACTCGCTACCGACTTTATTTAGCCTCTCAACTTTATGAGGGGTCTTAAAAGCCTGAGATAAATTATTCACTTTACAGTATACATAATGAACTGGTAATGTCAAAAATTTGTTTCATTTTAACGGCTATGTTATTGCTGTAATGAGCCTTCAAAATGACTAAGATAGAGCGTTTTTGAGGTGTCGTTTGGTAATATTGTCGCCAGCAAAAAATAAGTTTTTCTGGGGCAAATGTATATCAAGGTCATGTCCTTCTGTGTGAAAACACTCAGTGATAGTTAATCATTTTGGTATACGCCACGTCCCAAGCTTTAATATACAAGCAGACTCCCACTCGATCCTTTTGATTTATACAATGACGTAAGCCAGCTGATCAGTAGTCAGCTCAAGACTTCCTTCTTTTCTCAGAAAAACAAGCCTGTCAACTTTGGAATAGAAAAGCTTTCAATTTGATTATCTTAAACCAAGCCATGTGGGAGAGGCTATCGTTTCCTTGTTGAACTAGCTATTTTTGAGGTTAAATCGGATGTTCGAAGCTCAGAAACCCGGTGCGGAGAGGCGCAGTTGAAGATCAGACTGCGGCTACAGATTGAGCTCTCAATAACAATTATATTAAGAAGAGATCGGATTATTAAATTCCACCTAACAACCTCGAAGCAGAAGCAAAATTAACAATTTCAAGACCGGATTATATTTTAATTTTAAACATTTTGAATTTCAAATTTCAAGTTTTCATTTGAAAATTAGGTATGAGATGAGCCGAGCCTTGCTTCGTTCTCTAAAATCTATAAAGTCTCCTGATCGCATTTAGGAAGTCAACTTGTGTCTTCCTTTGCTTGCACTGCACCGACAATAGGGCTTAACTTGTATTTTACTAATAGACCAACTTTATTAAAATCACAATAAACAGAACTTCATTCAAATGGTAGATGATACTTTTCAGACCAGCAATGCGACGATCACCGTTCAACTTGTTTTTGATATGTATTGCTATTTGTGATGCGACACTCATGGCAACCTATTTGCTCTTCAAACATGTGGGTTGAAACCTTATTAGCCTTGTTTCTTAGAGTTTATTTGGAAACATCATGAACAAAACAATTCTTCCCAAAGAGAATACTTGGGCGCTTCATTAGCCGAAAAATCCGCCTATCGGAGGGAAACACTGGGTGGCTCTAGGCATGCGACCTGTCAGCCACAGCCTCTGACCTATCCATGAGCTGGCATCAACATTAAAACTGGGAGAAACTCCTTCAAATGACTTCACTCATTAGACAAGCACTCTGGAAAAAAATGGAAAAAAAGTTACCATTTCATTTTTTTGCGGCAAGGGAATCCATGTTTTTGGGGCTGAACTAGTTGAAGGGTTCCGGGTTTCTAGTATCTAAACAATGGCCACTCTTCACTATCCTCCTAGATGGGGATAGAGTTATTCTGTGGCTTAACCCCGTCGAAATGCTCTGTAAGCTTCAACTCGTGATCAGAATCATAGAGAAATATTCCAACTGATGGCCTGGACTACAACCTGTACAGCCTGTTATCAATTCTACTTAGAATAAGCGCCTCTTTATTTATTAATTTGTTTTTTAAATGCCCGCAACGAACATGTGATAGAAGCATCAGAACAAAAAGGTCTTTTAAATATGAAGATACGCCTATCTTTAAAAGGATTGGACTTTCTAGAATCACGCCAGTGCTAGAGCTGTATTACTCTGTAATCCTTTTCTGAACGACGATTCCCGGATCACAGTCTTTATGAAAATAGAAATGAAGGGATGCCACCGAAAAACTCCCTTCATCTCAATAATCGCCATAATCCTCTGCAAGAACCAAGTTATTAACGTAATTCCGGAAACGAGGTTTCCTCCTCTGCCGCACAACTCTTTAGGTTTTGTTTCTCATACTCCCAATCTAGTCCAAGCAAATTATCCTNCCCACCTCATGAAGTGCCACCCCCACCGTAAGGACCCTAAAATAGACCTCCGCACTAATACACGGAA